TTATTATTATTATCATCATGATTATTATTATACAGGGTGCCGCCCTCCTCCCCAACAAGCCGGGCCCTGTTGATTCCTTTCCTGGGTAGATCTGCCCACCACAGACTTCATTTCGCGGAGGGAGTGCACACTGTGGCGTCAGAAGGTTTTCTAGAGAATGTCAAAAACACCAGTCTGGGGCAAACTTGGTGTTTCCCGGTAGCATGACGTGCAGAATCACCGACGTGTGCTGGCCGGTCAAAACTCGCCAACCCCCCAGGGCGGTGCCACTGACTGTAGTGTCTTTAGGCCTTTCCCAAAGGGGGAACATTTCTCGTTCAGGCACAGTAGAATTGTACATGGGCTGATTCATCAATGTCACGCTCATAACTGTGCCTGATCTACAACAGGGAACTGCTGCTTTTTCTTTCCTAATCCTTACTATTGTCATTTTTCCTCTACTTCTTTTGTATGTTGTCACACTCTTGTGACCTGCTATTTCCGGGGTGCCTTGATAGTCGAAGCAGACTTTGTGCTGTTGAGGCTAGAGAGGTGAGCAGAGTAAGCCTGCTTCCCTGTAAGGACTTCTCTGTTGACACCCACCCCCTGACGCTCATATGACCTTATGCATTTGCGAGCGCCGTAAAACCCCTACTAAAACTAGACTAAGAACTCGCCAGACGAGATACTGAAGCATGAACCGGTTCTTGTTTTGTCCGGCACAGTTATCGCAGTGCACGTGCACGTGCCGTTTGTTCCCTCAAACCAAAATGAGGAAAGAAGTAGTGCAGGCAAGAGATCACTGCATTAATTCTCCCCTTACTGGCACAGAGACCTTCGTCGATCAAGAAGTTGATCTTAATTTTAATACTAGAGGGTTTTACGGCGCTCGCAACTGCATAAGGTCATATGAGCGCCAAGGGGTGGGTGTCAACAGAGAAGTCTTTACAGGGAATCAGACTTAGACTACTCACCTCTCTAGCTTCAACAGCACAAGGTCTGCTTCGACTATCAAGGCAACCCGGAAATAGCAGGTCACAAGAGTGTGACAAACATATAAAAGAAGTAGAGGAAAATGACAATAGTAAGGATCAGCAAAGAAAAAGCAGCAGTTCCCTGTTGTAGATCAGGCACAGTTATGAGCGTGACATGAGTCAGCCCATTTACAATTCTACTATGCTTGAACAAGAAATTTCCCCCCTTTGGGAATGGCCTAAAGACACTACAGTCAGTGGCACTGCCCCAGGGGGTGAAGTTGATCTGCTGATGGATGGCCTCTCTGTTGACGCCAAAGATGCCGCACTTACGGGGGGACCAAAACGTAAATAGGCCCCGGCTGCATCGGGTCATGGGGAAGGTGCACCTGCTTAGCGTAGTCAAATGTTAAAAACAATCAGGAAACAAACGCAGTTTTGGGACACCCGAATAGACATAAGGGTCTTGGACTTCTCGCTCTCACTGGAAAAATTGAGGGCAAACGAGGCAGGGGTAGGCCCAGAACAGCCTAATTAGGGAACCAAAACAAATGGGTAACAGGGAAAGATCAAGGAAATATAGCTTTTTTGAGAGCATCCGAGCAAAGGAGTGAATGGAGAACCATGATAGCCGATGTCTGTCGCAGATCTGGCACTGGATGATGATGATGACGTCCCGGCTGTTCTGCTTATGTGGATCGAGACTGGTGATGCCTTGAGAGGCAGCTGCTAGCCATGCACTATCCTCAAGACTATTGTAATAACTACGCTCCTGCGCAATTGCAAACAGATGTTGTCCCTGGCGGTTCAGAAGGTCTCTCTTCTCTTCCAGCGACAGGCGACCAGACCTCTGGATTAGCCGGTTGTTCGACGGACAGATCCAGCAGAGATCCGTCATTGGCGTCAGCAAGCTCGTGCATCTCGCGTTACATCGTTGCCCACGCATGGGAGAAAGCGCGAGTGCACGACTCCGTCGGGGGAAAGGTGAAGCCACCACCGGAGAAGGACAAAGAGAGAGAGACGTTACCGTCAGACAGAGAAGAGGGTTATCGCAGCTAAGATGCAACGCGAAGAGCCCCATCCTGCAGACGTATCTCCATGCAATAGGCTCCGCTCCCAATGATTCCTGTCTGGCGTGTGGCAATAGTCCTGACGACCTGCAGCACGCACTGTATGAGTGCCCGCGAGGGGAAGCACATCGAGGCTCACTTATGGAGAACAACGCGAGACCGGGCCCGGATGTACTCTGGACGAGGCCACAAGAGGTTGCCGCTTACCTGTCTGCGTGCGGCAGACTGACACCCTCCTAACGGAGGCCAGCCAGAGGAAGGAAGGAAGATCCGTCATTGGTCTGGCCACCAGCAAAGTAGGGAAGGCCCGCCTCCACACCCGCTTGAAGGCCCACACAGACACAAGTCTGTAACTTGCATGAGAAGAATAAAAAGGAACTATGAGTCCATATCATGTAGAGATATATTTTTGTAGTTTTTGTAAGAGTTTCAAGGCACTAGCACCACAAAAAGGTCACACAAGTGCTGAAGATTAGAAGTGTTACTAGAGAGTAACGTACATACATTAGAAAAAAGGAGTGGGACAGATAATGACGACCTGTTTTATAGGAAAAAAGGAGCAAACCACATCAGAGCACCCGCCAACCACCAACTAAAGAGATGTGTAATTTTAAAAATTCCGTGAATAAAAATAAAAGCTCCACCGGTTCCCTAACCAGTCTGTAGTAGGACAGTACTTTAACCTTATACAGGGAATGAAGGTGATTAAGTCGTTGATTTAAGGTTTGCAGTCTGGAAAAGGCTGCGGTTCCAGAAACTAGGTTTTAAATGAGACTGCTTATTCATGTAAAATTGTGCTGTGTTCACAATGAAAAGATAAGGTAACTTAAATGCAAAACTCAAAATCAAACAAGGCACTAGGAATATGTACGATCAGTCTACAGCGACACAATATTGAGAAAATGAAATCATTTTCCACAACAGTTGTAAATACCAGCAGACCTTTCGGCTGAGCAATACTGCTCAAAAACAAAGTTCTCTGTGTGGGAAGAAGGAAGGAGCATCACATCATCCGTTGAGAAGGACAGCGGCCTGCCGGAAAGAACAAGGGCATTGTCCCCGGTATAGCCGCACAGGAATCGGACAATGGCGTCCTCCTCGGCGGTGGTCAGGGCTATGCTGTAGTTGCTGCGGCCGCCACTCTGTTTCTTCCTGACTGTCAAGTCATTTTCCTTGAGGCGCTGCTTGACCTTCGTGAGCTTGTTCTGGGACATTCTGCAAAGTTGGAAAGCAACAAGACACCAACGTAAAAGTTCGACGAAGAAAAATGTGATCTTTAAGAGAGGGAATTAAAAAGTGGGGAGACCATCCGGGACCAATTTTGGCTATGAATCTGACAAACTTTTCAACTTCAGTTGTTGCAGGGAAATATCTACAAATAATTAGAAAATCATGTACTTATTTAATTGCCTTAAGAGGTAATATACACTCATACTTAATAAATTCAACATCATCAAAGCCCTTTTCACCCAGTACCTTGGTGTAAGTCACGAACCACAGACTTCCACTCCTTTCTATCCTTACGAGGAAAAAAAATAAAATAGCTGAAAATAATAATAAATAATGCGTGGTAAAACATTTAAAAAAGTTTAAACGAGACTAAAGTTTCGCTCTCCCAAGTAGGAAGAAAAATGTTTTTACGGCACACCAAACGATTGAGCAGTACATGGATATTAGTCCTGGACTACCTCCGACTCATCTGGGTCATCTGCTTGGAGCACCGCGGGGTTGGTCCATTCTGCATTTGTTGGCACCACAGCATGCCCTTCAACACACAGTCCCTCTCATGCCCTAAAAAGAATTTGTAATATAATTTTAGTTTTAGTTTTAGTAAGAGTTTTACGGCAGTAGCAACACAATAAGGTCATACAAGTGGCGAAGATTAGAGGTGTTACAAGAGAGTAACAAATACAAAAAAGAAGAAGGGGAGATAAGGACGATAGATGTTTGATAGGAAAGAAGAAGGGGAGATAAGGACGATAGATGTTTGATAGGAAAGAAGGGGAGATAAGGACGATAGATGTTTGATAGGAAAGAAGAAGGGGAGATAAGGACGATAGATGTTTGATAGGAAAGAAGGGGAGATAAGGACGATAGATGTTTGATAGGAAAGAAGAAGGGGAGATAAGGACGATAGATGTTTGATAGGAAAGAAGAAGGGGAGATAAGGACGATAGATGTTTGATAGGAAAGAAGAAGCAAACCACGCCAGAGCACCAACCAACCACCCACTTATAATATAATTACATATAATTACCTATCAGATGAATATAGCACCAAACTGTAAAAAAGGCTTATTTTATGTTATGTAACTAATGATTTTTTTGGGCCTATTTTGAGCTTTAAGAAAAACAAAGCAGACTGATGTCTGTCTCAAAATCTAGTATAAGTTAACACATTCGAAAGCACTTTTTTGGTGTGTGTTTTACCATAGGCGTTAGTAAATTAAAGACCTTTTCACACTGCTAAACTCTGTCCAAGCCTAACTTTGTTCTGTAAAGCTAAAAGCAGTTTTATTTCTTTGCCTTCATAATGTTTTGACCAAATTGTGTTTTCGGACGTTACACTTTCCGTATTGCTTATAATTTATTAGATTTTGTAAATCCCTAGTTTTAACAGTCAAGACATTACTGTGTTTTACAACAGGCTATTGCATTTAATAAGTTTATTTATCAAGCTACGTACTATACAAAACAAAATGTGTTTTGAAATGCTGGCAGAATTTTTATTTCTTTTTCCTACTACATTCTTGATTCATTTGCGGGGTTGGTCGTTACACTTTCGGCAGTGGTTATAATCTATTCGTTTTTTTGCACGTATGTTTCGCATTTTAAAAAGATACTTTAACACTACTAAACACTATACAAAAACGTAGCTTTGTTTTATTTCTTTGTCTTACTGCTTTTTGGACCAACTTGTGTGGTCGGTCGCTTCACTTTCCGTATTGCTTATAATCTGTTTGTTTTCGTGCCAGCCTTTACGTAACAGCCAACACCACAGGTTTTTCACCACAGGTGCTAGCTTTAGGAGACTTTTTTAGTACCGTCGAACTCTATCCAAACCTAGCTTTGTTGTGAAAACTGGACGCATCTTTATTTCTCTATCTCCCTACTGTTTTGACTAATTTTTGTGGTCGGTCGTTACACTTTCCGTATTGCTATAATCTATTAGATTTTATGCATGCCTGCTACGAACAGACAATCTATTATTGTGTTATACAACAGGTAATGGCAAAATATAAGCTACTATATCTGGCTACACTCTGTACAAAACAAAATATGTTTTTAAAAGCTGAAAGCATTCTTATTTCTTTGTCATCATAATGTTTTGACCCACTCGTATGGTCGGTCGTTACACTTCCCGTATTCGTGTTTGTGAGTGTCTAGTTTTAACAGCCAACATACTATTGTGTTATACCAGAGTTCCTAGCATTTTGAATCCATTTCAACACTGCTAAACTCTATCCAAACCTAGATTTTTTCTTTAAAGTTGGAAACTATTTTTTGTCTTCTTACTGTTTTGACCATCATGTATGGTAGGTCTCACACTTACCGCATTAGTAATTTTTTTTTATAGTAGGGGGTTTAACGGTGCTCACAACTGCGTAAGGTCATATGAGCGCCAAGGGGTAAATATCAACTGCACAAGGTCTGCTTCGACTATCAAGGCACCCCGGAAATAGCAGGAGAGTGACAAACATATAAAAGAAGTAGAGGAAAATGACATTAGTAAGGATTAGGAAAGAAAAAGCAGCAGTTCCCTATTGTAGATCAGGCACAGTTATGAGCGTGACATGAGTCAACCCATTTACAATTCTACTATGCTTGAACGAGAAATGTCCCTCTTTTGGGAATGGCCTAAAGACACTACAGTCAATGGCACTGCCCCGGGGGGTTGGTTATAATCTATTAGATTTTTTGCGTGCCTATTTTTAAAAGCCAACACGTTATTGCGTTATACAACAGGTGATAGCAATTTACCAGCTACACACTTTTCAAATCAAAATGTGTGTTGAAAAGGTGATGGTTTTTTTATTTCTTTGTTCTCCCACTGTCTTGATTCATTTATGTTGTCGGTCGTTACACTTTCTTTCTTGGTTTTAATCTATTACTTCGTGTGCTTGCCTAGTTGCAACAGCCAAAACACTACAGTGTTTTACCACTGGTGCTAGCATGAAAAAAAAAACCCTTTTAAGAGTACATTTAGCTTTAGATAGAGTTTAAGTAGGCAAAGCAGCCTAAAAATGATAGCAACTGCGCTAAAACACAACAATGTGTTGGGTTTTGCAATTAGTCACGGAAATAATCTAATATGTTATGACTAATACCGTGAGTGTGACGACCAACCGACCGCACGAGGTACTCAAAACAGTAGGAGGACAAATAAATACAGACGCTTCCACCTTTGTAGAACACTTTTAGGTTTCGATGGAGTTTAACCGTTCAAAGAAGTCTATAAAATGTCGACGCCTGTAGTAAACACAATAATGTTTGGTTGTTACATCTAGGCTTTCACAAAATTATTAGATTATAAATGATACCGAGTGTGTAACGACCAACTGCACAAGTTACAGTGGGAGGACAAAAGAAATAAAGTATTTAGTTGTAACGACAACGTCTGCAGTTTTATCGGAATCATTTCAGGAAAAGACAAAGCAGACACCCTTGTCAAGAAGGAAGCATCACATTCACCACCCTAAAACTCAGTATTTCAACAGGCAGTCCAGAACATCATCAAATGCAACACCAGGGAACAGTGGCTGAATGGATGGGCAATGGGCAAAACTGGAAGAACTGTATTTGCACACACGACTGCCCCCAACCCAAAAGATGACCTTAATTCCCTGAGTGGAAGAAAACAAGTGACTATCTTTCGTCTACGAACACAACACATCCCACTGAATTCCTACCTAAATAGGATCCGCAAGGATACCCCACCTGACTACCCGTTGTGTGACTGCCAGGATGAAACAGTATCACACCACCTCTTTATTTGCCCTGCACTTAGCGACCTGCGTAGTACCTACCTACCTGCCTCCCCAGACATCGGAAATATTCTATACAACGGCAAAACGCAGCTGATAAAAACCTGTCAATTCTTTGCCATATCGACAGGCCGAAGGCGAGAACTCAGATGGCCGTTGGATCAGAAAGGTAAAGTAAAAGGAAAGTATCGGAATTATTGCAGATATATTTGACTCTAACCAAACCAAGCTGTGATCTTACAGGTTATTTGTTTGTGGACACGACCAAGAGGACGCCAACCATATCCTTGAGCACTGCCCGTGCTACACCACCCTTCGCACACAGACGTGGCAGAATGTGGCTCCCCTTGAGAGAAAGCTCTATGACAGTCTCTCAGAGTTGAAGCGAACTGCACAGTTTGTGCACGACATCGGACTGACTGTCTAGCTTCTGTCATCGAGAACGAGGAAGAAGAAAAATAAATTTGTTTGTGTTAGTAAAGAGAAGTGTTGTTCGACACAATAATGGTCATTTATTGCTGGTGAAGTGGTATAGGTTTAAAATCACGCCCCAGTAAACACTGTTAGGATATTTAAGAGGCGGGACCTCCGAGTTAACCGTCGCTGTCTGAACGGACCGCGCCAAGTTGGAACTTGGTGAGAAGTGCCTTTCCCAAAGACACAACGTCGGACCGAGCTGAGACTCAATCCCCCGAACCCACAATCTCACTGTCACGATCCCGGTAGCCCAACTACAAGGCTACAGACGCCACCTATTTATTGCTGAGGAAAAGTAAGACAAAAACAACAGGGTGAAAGTAAAGAGGTAGGATTTATCAGTAGCTACCGGCTACCCCCCCAAAAAAAACACCAAACAAACAAAAAACAAAACAACCCCCCCCAAAACCCCCCCCA